GAATGAAAATGACGTTACATACGAGGTTGATGCATTTGTGCATGTCGTACTAAGCAAGGTATAAAAACAGTTGCTTTATGAGGAATTAGTTCGTACCATTGAATATTTGACGCAATAGACAAGGTGTCGCAGAAACCGATGTTGCTATAACCAAGTTTTACTGTATATATGTGTGTATAAAATCTCTAGGCATCTGTTGATAAATGGTTCATGTTTTGTATTTTTCCTTGTCCATAGACAAGGACATATTTCACCAGTGTTAAAAGCCATAACTTTGTTTTCTCCATCAATTGTTTGCCTTCAGTAAACTCCTTTGGAAGTATTGGTCTTTTTCTTCCCAGCTTCCCCAATAAAATTGTGTGAAGGGGATTACTTTCAAGCTATCAAATGCTTTGAACTTATATTATCTGGTTTTTAACCAAATTATTGTAAATCTCCAAAAATACCCATTGTTATTATAATGAATAAGTGAAGTCAGACTGTGTTTAGAAAAGGCTCAGCAGCAAACACACATTGAGTCATAGCCAAATTCACCACAATTTCTGAAACTGCATACACTTACAAGTAGAATTGTGCACATACTGCAGTGAATAGTCAACTTTCTGTCCTAAGACATGTGATCCCGATGGTGGACCCTGTATAATGAGACATGATTTTATGTAATTCTGTGTTTAATCGGTCTCTTAACTTACATAGGGAAATGATTAGGCTACATAGGAATTACCACTTAGTCACAAATATCAGTTGTTGCTCAATTTGAGGTTTTCACAGCAGTGACTGTCTTCTGGTGTTTAATGCCGTGTAGTCCTACGTGAGTCCACCAGTATGCCTCTGAAATGTCACTGGACATCTGCTGGAATACATTTCGCTTAGTGAGGGGTGGAGTCCAACTGGGTCCACTCGGCATGGCAGCCACTGATTGGCCTATTGTAGCCTGGCCCGGGTGATTATAATGATGGAGAATTTGTTGGAATGAAGATTGGCAGGGGAAACCGAAGTACTCGGAGAAAACCTGCCCCAGCGCCACTTTGTCCACCACAAATCCCATTTGAGCCGCAACTCGAGCCGCCCCGGTGGGAAGCCAGCAACTAACTGCTTGAGCCATGGCGCGGCCTTGCTGGAATAAATGGTATTAAGTTCCAGGATATAGTACATGTCATCAGTTACATTTTTTGTTGTAGGAGCTTTTCTTCCTGCATGAAACTTCCACACACTCTTCTCACCTGTCAGCTGGCTATCTATTGCTGGTGGATATTCCTGAACCTCTGCTGATGCAGCATGGGAGTTTCTCATTTTATTGGAGGCATAGTCAGTTAATTCTTGGACTCTTTCTACAAAATCCAACCTCTGTTAAAGTAAATCTACCCCTCATTGTTATCATAATACTGTAGTAATAATTATCTGATGCTAAGCAGTATATCATAAATGTGTGTAGGGGGATGGAGATAAAGCTCCACACATTCTTGACCTAATCACAAGTTAAAAGTGAATGATCAGCTTCACACTTAGAGCACTTTTCCTCAGGAAAATAGGTCCCCGGCATCCAATTAGTAGTTGGCAAGATGGACCTTGGAGCTAGTCCTGTGAGTGGAGAGAGAATTCTCTCCCACACTGGAAATCTAGTCATAACCACTCATAGTTCTCATTTTTATTAATTGCTTTTGTTGATGTTTATTCTGAATACTTGTGTTGGGTCGTGTTTCACATTTCATTTCTCTGTATTTAATATCTCTGATCTACCACATCAGATATAATGTTTGTAAATGCACAGTTTCCTTCCTGAGTTGCTGATATCAAAGTTCTTTCTGCAAATGTTTAAATGTTTACATATCTTTGTAAATAAAACTTATATTAAAATGACAGTTTAAGGATATTCATTAATTTAAACTATGTGGGACAGAGTCTGTGAGAAGCTGATGGTCACTCAGCTGTGTAAGAAATATGCCTTTTATGGACTCTGAAGGTTTAGTACTGTTTCACAGGAGCCTGCCACTAGACCCTGTCCAGGTGGGTCAAATCAGGTACACACCTTGACACCCCATTTTCTTAAGATACATTAATATGCTTTGACAAAATCAGCAGTTTTTTTTCTTCTGAAAGTGTTTAGGAAAATAGTTTTTTCTTTGTCACTAGATTGTACATGTAGCTACAGTTTATGATTTCTTGGACATACAAGGGAGAAGTAGTAAATAGGTCACCAGTGGATATAGAACATGGTATTTGAACATGGAAAAACATTTATTTCTTGTCATATCCTCCACCAACATCAATATGCTTGTCTCATTGCTTTATCAGTGCATCAAAACCCGCAGCATAGAAGTCTTTTGACTGTTGTCACAGCCATTTTTGTACCTAGCCGGGCATCATCTGTGGCTTTCAAACATCCTTGAGAGAATTTCCAGACCCAGTTGTGAACCGACCGCTTTATGCAACAAACACTTCCCTACTGTAAACAGGAAACATTTCTGTATGAATATATTTTGCATTGAGCCCTTTTGTACATAAAAAAAGCATAACAGAACGCTGCTCTTCGGTAGTTTACATGTCAAGCATGGTTGCCATTCTGACTACTGAAATCAGACTCTGAACATGCACATGCATGTCTGCTACCTAGACTGTCAAGAAGCTACTACCTAGTGATACACATAGAAAACTTATTATGTCAATTACAGCTGTTTTACTTCCATTTGTGACCTATTTACTGACTCTCCCTCATATGTACATTATTTGTTATTCATTCCTTTACTGTGAAATACTTCTAGCTGCTAATATACTGCTAAAATGGGAGGCTGTGAGGTTTTGCAGAGGTGCTAGGAGTGAACTTAATATTATTCTTCCAGCCCCCAGTGTTCTCTTCCCCACAGGATTTCTAACTAAAATTGTGTATGCATTTCAACTCTTTGGGTATGCTATTTGTCGTTTCCATCTCCCTTGATTTGCTCACTCTAATAGTATTTAGTGATCAATACGAATTATTAAGTTCATGTACAGCAATTCCTCTCTAATTGCACTTTTGCATTTGTGTCGCTTTTTTTTTGTCCGCTACTGTGGTAGATGGTTTCATATATCTATGTTTTTAATTGTGTATATACAGAAAGAATTTGCCATGTCTCTACACTTGTAACAATTTGAGAACTTCAGAACACACTTTTTTTTTTTTTAATTTGGTGCTGGAAAGATTCCCTAAAATCTGTTGACTCATTCAAAATTTGGTTAAAGTCAGACAGTGGTAACAGATCTGCATGGTTTCTGCTTTCCTGTAGATCCTGAGGTGCTAAATATTTCTTGGATTAGTATTTTTAGAATCAGGAGGACATGAGGAAGCAGACATCATACATATATTTGTTAAGAAACAGAATATAGGATGTATCATTAAAATATTTTTTAAAGTGAGTGGTGTGCCATGCCGAACAAATGGCGAGATTAATGTTATTACATCAGTGAGAACCTTGTTCATACAGAAATTGAGTCTTAAAATTAGTTAAGGTCAATGGTGTGGTCATTATTGCTTATAAATAATAAAGTTATAACTCTGGTAAGGTAAAGGTAAAATTGTCCCTTTACTTAATTAATTAACCACCATGACATGAAAACATATTCAGAGTAGAGGTATAACTGCACGTTCTTAACCTCAGCACTAGATGGAGGTGAGTGGTCAGCTTCATGCCTCAACCACTTTACTCCCCCAGTGAAAGAGCCCTTGGTGCCCATTGGATAGGGGGCTGGGTGGGCCTCGGAGCCAGGCTGGATGCTGTGAAGAAGAGAAAATCTCTTGTCCCTGCCAGGAATTGAACCCTGGCTGTCCAGCCCGCAGCCCATCACCATACCAACTGAGCTATTTCAGCAGTAATCTCATGCAATGCTAAGATAATGCAATTATAGTACTGTCTACAAAATATACACTTTGAATGCGTATATACGTGGTGCAATCCAAAAGTTCCCGAAATATATTAATAAAAACTATTACATCTTACCTAGATCTTATTCTGCACCATCACCTTCAAAGTAGTCCCCTTGGGAGCACATACACCGATCCCAGCATTTCTGCCACTTTTCAAATGCATCCTGGAAGTCTTTCTTTGTTAGGGTGTTTAGTACCGTCTGCATATCCACTTGAATTTCCTCAACTGTATCAAATCTTTGCCCTTCAACTTGATTTTCATCTTGGGGAAGAGAAAGAAGTCGCATGGAGCTAAGTCTGGCGAGTACAGTGGGTGGGGAACAACTGCCATCTTGTTTTTAGCCAAAAATTCCTGCACAATGTAAGCCGTATGTGGTCGTGCATTGTCATGGTGGAGTACCCAGATGTTCATGTGCCACTTCTCTGGACGTTTTCTCCTCATGTTCTCCCTCAAACGCCTTAGAACATCGCGATAGAACTCTTTATTGACTGTCTGACCAGGAGGGACAAACTCCTTATGAACAATCCCATCAATATAAAAAAAACAGATCACCATGGACTTAATGTTGCTCTTGACTTATCAAGCTTTTTTTGGCCGAGGCGAAGAAGGGCTCTTCCATTGCGACAATTGCTGCTTGCTCTCAGGGTCGTAGCCATAAACCCAACTTTCGTCACCAGTGACAACCTTCGAAAGAAAGTTTGGATCCTCCTGAAGCTGTTGCTGAAGTTCCCTGCAGACTTCCAAGTGATGCTGCTTCTGTTCATTTTGCAGCAGTCGTGGCACAAACTTCGCCGCAATCCTCCTCGTGTTCAGTTCCTCTTGACAAAATTCGTTGACTTGTACCATAACTTAGTCCCAAGGTGTTACAGAGGTCTTGGATGGTCAGTCTACGATCTTGCAGAATCAGATCCCTAACTTTCGCAACATTTTCTGATGTTTTGCCCGTTGACGGCCGTCCTGAATGATCGTCATCATCAGTCAATGTTTGGCCATTTTTAAAATGCTTATACCAGTTGTAAGTTTGTGTCTGGCCTAAACTGTTTTCACAAAAAGCTTGCTTCAACATTTGGTGCGTTTCTGCAGCGGTTTTCCCAAGTTTGAAACAGAACTTTATACAGACACGCTGCTCTCTCAGGTCAGCCAATGCAAAACCGCAAACTCACGGAAACACAACAGTGGAAATACGTTCACCAACTATAAACCCAACCACTCAACTTGACGCCGCTTGCCACACTGATTCAAGAAGGATGTGTGAGGAGACACCTAGCGGTATTTCGATGTACTCATAACCATTCACGCGCAAAATTCAAATTTCAGAAACTTTTGGATTGCCCCACGTATATGGAATTAGAAGTTAATCTTGAGTGCTTCTGTTTTCCTTTCTAGAAAACAGTAAACATGCAAGTGGCTTAAATTTTCAGGCCCAGGATGTTTTCCCAGTGCTATAAGGCTCTGCCTGTCTGGACCAGATCCTTTGATAAGTGGAGATGGCCTTCAGCAGGCAACACCTCAGTTATCTCATGCCTTACAGCAGACCCACAGCACAATGCAAGAAGCTATTCTTTTGATTTTCTGTTTCCTGGGACTTCAACTGACATACCTCACTTGGGGTTTGTTGCAAGAGAAGATCATGACACAGGTAATGTCATTAAACAGAATTGTTTATTCTGTCTGAATACTTAACATACGTTTGTTTTTGGGGCTGTGTAAATAACTCCTGGAACATTTCAAAGCTTTAATTTTTTATTCAGCATATAGTTTGAGGGTTTAATACTTGTTTATAATTATTGATTCTTGGCTGTGACTTAGATCTCATTCCAAAATGTTTGCTGTCAAAATTGAACTGATGATTACTAGGTTTTGTGTGAAAATTGGGAGTTGAAAGGGTACCAGCTTACTAATACATTGTATTTTTCATTCAAACCAATGATAATATGCATAAAATGTTCTATAAACTACCATTGTAGCTGTCTTGTTTCTGAACTACAAGTTCTCAGTTAGGCTCTTTGAACCTTGCACCCATGTATTCCATATCTACACACGGGATATTTGTTTTATTGCAAAATTAAGAGCTCTGAGAGCCAGAGTTTATTCTTTCTAACTTACTGAGATGGCATTCATATTGTGGTCTTCAGTATTGTAATACCATACAATCTGGTAGGTTGCTTGAAAATGTCTTGTAAAATTTCTTGATAAGAATAATTTCTATTTAATTCCATTCATTTTGTCTTAGGAGCTATTTAACCATAATTTACCCACAACTGTACAAGGTAAAATCAAGAAGCATGTTTCCAATGCTTATATCTAAACTTTTGTTGTTTTTGTTTGTAGTAGCTGTTGTTCTTGTTAAGAAGTGAATGCTGTGTGCTGATTGCAGCTGAAGTTGTAAGCTGTTTGTGCTCAGCAGAAGTGAGGCTGAAACCTAGAATGTAGCACAATTTGTAACTAAGTGTATGGAGCTAATTCCTTAATTAAAAACTAAATGTTGCTTGACTGCTTCAGAAATTTCCTGCCTTTTATGAGACCTGAAGATTCATTATTGTATTTATGAAAGCCAATAAAAATTTTTACTCATGTGATGCTGATCAGAAAGTATCGAGACTGAACTTGTATGTTAAGTTTGTAGTTTTAAATTGTATTTTCTCTATCATGAACCAAGTAAAAAAAAAGCTATCCCTGTACCAGGCCATGAAGGCCCATAGGGCTGTGAGATGTTGAGGGTCCCACATTATCTAGACAATCGGCTCAAAGATGACGGTAAGGTTGTCAGCCTTACGCGCCAACCGCGCTTTACTCCCCAGGAAAATTATTTAATTAATTCCTGCTACTCATTTCTGTTAGAGGCTAAGTCAACCCCAGGGCCATAGTGCAGCTGGAAGGATTAGGTCAACAGTACTATATATGTTATCGAATGATGCGTTGAGGCCGTCATTTAATGTGAACTCCCATGAGTAGAAAGGTAAAGGTATCCCTGTGACAGGCTGTGGAGGCCTATATTGTTCTGAGACGTCGAGGCTCCCACATTTTCTAGACAGTCGGCTCACAGATAGTGGTGAGGCTATCAGCCTTAAGCGCCAGCCACTCTTTATCCCCCCAGGAAGATTCCTGGTACTCATTTCTGTTACGAGGCTGAGTCGACTCCAGGGTCATAATGTGACTGGAAGGATTATGTGAATTGAGAAGAATCCAGTGACCTCATTGTGCATCGAACCCGCGACCTTTTGGCTTGTAGCATAGTGCCTCAACCAACTACGTGACCGCCACTCCCATGAGTAACACGCAAAAATAGTTGATCGTAAGCTGTCTACTTTATATAGCACAAAATGTTCCCTGTGTTTAAGCACAATATCATGAAGACATACAGTGGGCACAGAAGTAAAGCTCCAGATATTCTTATCCTGAACACTGTACAGAGGTCAGCTTGATACCTGGGTGCTTTACCACCAGGTAAATAGCCTATAGTACCCATTGGATTGGACCCTGTTAGCATGCATGAATTCCAAAGACTAGAAAATTTACTAATACCAAATATGAAACCTGTGTTTTACATTCTTACTTTTGTGGCATGGACAGAAGTTAATTGCCAAGCTGTTGTATGCATATATATGTACTTCCCACACTTCTGGAATTTAACTTCCTATAATTTTCTTTGTGTGAGCTAGGACAGTGTAGTCAGTATAGTGACTGACTAAAGGTTGGGCAGCCAAGGGAATGGAGTTTGAGTCCCAGTAGGAGCAAGATTTTTCTCTTCAGCGCATCATCCAGACTGGTTCTGAAGCCCACACAACCTCCCATCCAGTGGACACTTGGGGCTCTTTCCCCAGGTGTAAAGTTGCCAGGGCATGAAGCTGACCACTCACCTCCAACTAGTGCCAAGGTCAAGAATACGTGAATCTATACATCCACTCCTCCATACATCTTCCTGGCATAGTGCTTAATTAGTTAAACAGAGGGACAGCTTTACCTTTTCTTATGTGTTGTTTTAGATTTGTATTTAATATTTATCTTTTAATTTTTCCAAACAGGAGTACATTGATTCTGGAGGAGCTAAAGGACATTTTACAGATTCACAGTTTCTTGTCTTTGTGAATCGGATTTTGGCCTTTGTGCTATCAGGACTTTACATTATTTTTACAAGGCAGCCACGGCATGTAGCTCCATTCTACAAGTATGTCTACTGCTCATTCTCCAATATCATGAGTTCATGGTGTCAGTATGAAGCCCTCAAGTATGTCAGCTTCCCAACCCAGGTTAGAATTGATCTTTCAGTTTATTATGTTTGTATACCAGCAAATATTAAAGGAAATGAATATAATTTCAGTGGACCTCAAAAATGATAGTGTCATGTGTATGAGTGACTCCCAACAGGGTTTGGGGTAATTGGATTTATTGACCACTTATGGATTGTAACTACAGGTAATTATAACAGTCTTTGTTTTCATTAGTTGTTTCCTGGTAACAGGTTTTAACACTGTCTGCTTATGTCCTTACCATTTGGTGCATATTCCACAACTCCATTAACTGAACTAAGTCTTCATTTCATCCTGTGTATAACTCCTCAGCACGGACCACTGTAGAAAACTCTGTTTCCTACAGTTCCTCTGTTGTTGCATGTTGATACATTGCTGTGAAGAAATGTTTGCATGCATTACCCAGTAATGACTCTGGTATATTTGCTTATCTCACAGTCATTGCCTAGTAACACCTGTAAGTGCTACAATATATATAATATAATGTTTGAAAAGGCATAACTGCTTCTTAGAACATGTTTGAAGTTACTTGCACTGTTTGAATAATTATTTGACCACCATACTAGATCAGAGATTCTTGAGTGCAGCCACCAGTAACTTCTCACATGGCCACCAATTATTTTCAAGGCTAATAAATTGTTTTCAGTAGAAGGTTTTTTCCAGTCTTGAGATGAATTTTTTTTTACATGTTCTGTAAATTCATTGACCATTTTTATACAGGTGTTATGGGTCTGTGCTATATGGCTGGAACCTTTCACCATCATTTCTTGATAAATAAGTACTGCAACAAATTGATGGATTGAAATATTTAAAGAACTCTTCTGTTAGCTGTGGATAAACGTAAGGGAGCAAGTTCCCATTTAGCAAGCTGCTGTAAATTAAAATAATAACATTTTCCTTGCATCAATTAATAACAATCTTCCATACAAGATTTGTTTTGTATGTAAAAAGTTATGTGGCCACAGAACATGTTTATAACTTTTAAATGCAGTTGTCGAAGCTTTATGCTTGAAAACTGCTGTACTAGAACATGCTTACATGGAAATAAATTCTTAGATTGATTGGGGAGGGAGTGGCAAAGTAAAAAAGTATCCAAAGAGAGAGGTGCATGCATATGCTTCCACTTTCCCTTACTCACGTGACAATATTATCGTGTGTATGAGTGACTCTTGATTGGGTTTTGGATAGATATTGGATTTATTGATCATTTTACCACACAACTTGTAATTACACTTAATTATAGTGCCATCGCTAATCTCCACACTTTACAAATCACAGCTAAGTCTTTTCCATCTTGCAGTGTCATCACTAGCAGTTGCCTGGTAATGGCTTCTAACAGTGGCTACTCCTCTGCTTCTAGGCACATGTCCTCTCTGAATGGCGGCTCCCTTCCATCTGTGTGTATTCTTGCTCCAGTTATCCCTCTTATAACCCCTTGGCACAGACCACCATAGAAAACACTGCACTCAGACTGTTGCTGCAGGAAACTTTTTGTTTGCAACCATTACCTGGAAACAGGTCTACACACTACAATATTGTTAGATAAATTGGGAAAGATAAAAGGAAAGCAATAATTCATGTAAACCATCCTATTGAAATGTGCTGCCGAAGTTCATGTTGAAGAAAATAATGTGAAACAATGATAATTTATATTTCAGGTACTAGCCAAGGCTTCAAAGATAATTCCAGTCATGATAATGGGGAAGATCGTTTCTAGAAAGAAATATGAGTACTATGAGTATGTGACTGCAGTGCTTATATCAGTGGGAATGGCATTCTTCATGCTGGGCAGTGCAGATGACCATAAAGGCAATACTACCATCTCTCTTAATATCATATTTTAAGTATGGGTTAATCATGATGTTCTGAAATTGTTTTTCACACAGGGAACAGTTTGGAATGGAGACAATATGCCTTTTTACCACTGTTGTCAAGTTAAGTGGTAGTGATGCGCTGTGTCATGTTTTGTGGTGTTATGTAAGGTACTTCTCATAAAATATACTTTTTTAATAAGAGTGTATCCAAAGACAATGATTGAGAAAGAAAATTTTGAATAATATCAAAAAGCACTTAACCTTTAAACGACTAAAGACAACGTATGTCGTCGTTAAAAGAAAGTCCCCGGTACGAATGACGCTATATGGTGTCGCAGAGTCCGCGCGTGGCAACGTTATATAAAATTAAATTTTAAAGTAGAAAATTATGTCCTACTTACATAATTTTTGGCCACCATCTGCATGGAGTGTCTGTCTTCCC